ACAACACTACACCCACTAAGACAAAAGCAACACGGAAGAGGAACAAAGCCAAACATTTCATTAATTGTGATGAGCCGTGCCAAGTCAAAAAAACCATTAAAAGAAGGGTATCACATTCACTCACATGCCAAAAGTTATATACTCAATATCTCAATCCCTCATCTTTCACTTCACTTTTTGGATCCCAATCTGCTGCCTTCTCCCTCAATACTATTCAATATTTATTATATTATACCAACCACTTCTACTCCCTCCCAAATTTGTCACATCCAATGCAAATGCTGTTGACTCATTAATGAAGATTAAAAAAATTAGTCAAATTTAAATTATTTTTAACTTTTTCATTAAAATAAAAAAATCTTAAATTTTATTAATTTTATCAAAAAGTTTCACAAGTTTTTAACTTTACCCATATTACATTTATATTTTTTAAAAATAAAATATACTAGTGAATTAATATTTGAATTCTTATTAAAAGATATGCATGATCATATCTCAAATATAATTATTTACAATGGCAGAATATTTGTAAAAAAATAAAAAAATAATAAAATACCCTTAGTATTTAATATCATTCTCAACATTTAATAAAAGTAAAAAAAAATAAAGATAAATATAGTTTTTTGTAACCAGGATCAAAGCAAATATTTTTTTTATTTTATAAATAAGATCATATAAAATGTCATTTTCTCAAAAAGAAAAACATATTTTAATATGGGCATTAAATGTGGGAGATAAAAGGCAGAAGTGAGAAAAAATATGAAATTAAATAAGATAATTTGGAAAAAATATTAAATGAAAGCGAAAAAGAAGAATGAGATTTTATATTTAAGAGCAAAGAAATTGCTCGACAAGATCTCTATATTTAAAACTGAAGGGAGCAATTAAGATTGAGTCTTTTATTATTGCTTAAACTAATTGCAATTATGTTCTTTTTATTAAATTTTGAAAATTATATTCTCTTTTAAATGAAAAGGCTATGGTGTTAAGCCATCCAAAAAAAAAAAAAAGACTACGAAACATTATGTTCTTCAATTGTTCAACCGCAACTCTTGATCTCTTCTCATTTCAGTTTCTGGATTCTCATTTCCCAGTTGCAGTTTATCTAATTTATTTTTATATTTTTACAAGTCATTCGGAATTCATTATTATTAACTTGTAAGGATTGAAGTCAGAACTCAGAACAACACTAATTATAAAATAACTCTCCCAACCTGAATTGTTTTCCTTATCCACAAAAACTCAAGATTTTATTTAAAGAATACTAAGGTCCTGTTTGTTTTAACTTATTTCATGAAATAATCAATTATTTTTTAAAAAATATTTATTTTGTGAGTTTTTATGATATTTGTCTAAACTTTTAAAAATAATCAAAATTTTTTAAAAAAACATATTTATGATTATTATTATTTTTTTGCATAAACATGGATAACATTACTCAAGACAGAGTACAAATCAAGTTATAGTGGCAATGCGCTTTTTATTATCATCCACCATCTTAGCACAAAAAGATAAGGATTAATCATAGTAGCAGAAATAACCTGTAATATCGAAAGCTTGACTAGCAAGAAGATGTGCACAAGTATTAAGTTTTCTATACATGAATTTCAAAGAAACAAACCAATCACTGAATAATAAAAACCTAACATACTCAATGACTTTCTTATAAGGATGGTGATTCAAATCCTATTTGGTTATAAGGTGAATAGCTTTAACACAATTCATGTACACCTTTATTTTGAATAGCTTCAGCATCTTAAAATAATATTTATAATTATTTTAAGAAGCTACTTTGATTAACTTTTAAAAGTAATCTAATATAGTAGATGAGAAATAGTATTTTAAAGATGCTAAATACGTGAAGATATTATGAAATTTTAAAATAATATAATAAAAAATTATTTTTATAAAACAAAAATTAAGGAAGATATCATATAATTTAAAAATAACTAACTAATAATTACTTTTTTATTATTATAGCTAAACATAAAATAATATCTGTTTTTTTATAAAATTTCTATAAAATAAAGCTTTTTTTTATAAAATTTCTAAACTACTTAAAATTTATTTATTTTTTAGTCTCAAATAAATGGGCCGTAAGTCCTTTACCACTCAATAAAACTATTGATATTTTTTTTATTTTAAAATTATATTCATTCTACTTTAGCCTTATTGGACAATTTTTTTATGGAATTATCGCCACTAGCAGTATACTATTCATAATCATTATTCAAATTTAAACCATTAAGGTTTCCCATCAACTCATTCGGAAAACAAAAAAAAAAAAAAAACAAAGAAAAGGATTCCCGTCAACTCTGTTGAGCAAATTAAAGTCTTATGAATTATGATAATAACCCATAATCCAATTCGTGCTGCCATCACGAATTAATCTAAACATTTTTAAAATTAAAAAAATTAATTTACAATTTTTTATAATTTTACTAAATTTTAAATTAATTTTATGCAATTTATTTTATGTTAATTAAGTTCTTATAATTTAATTATCATATATGTTAAACCCCTGAAGATTAAAATTAATAAATACAAAATACTCTTGGAAGTTTACAAAAAAAATTAATTTAATACTTTAGCTAAAATAAAAAATAATTTCATACACTTTTATATTTTTATAATTTTTTTATGAAAATTTTATATGTATAAAAAATATTTAGAAGACAACTTAATAATATAAATTTTGAATTATAAAAATTATGTAATTAATTATAAAGTTATATAATCAACAACAATAATAACAACAAACCTTATCCCGTTAGATATGATTAGTTATATGAATTATACAATGTCATTATATTATATAAAGTTATATAATCATTTAATAAAATATAAAATTTCTTAATTTTTCTTTTAAAGGAAAATTTTAAGGATTTTATCCTTCATTTATCAAAAAATTTAATTAATCAAACTATAAATATTTGATTAAAATAAAATAAATTGTAAAATCTAATTTATAATTGAAAAAAAAAACTGTAATGTAAATATATTTTCTTTTAAAATTATATTTCATCCATTGGAGATTGTACTCAAGTTGAATATTGCAGCCTGAAATTCCAACTATTACTACTACTATTTGTCACTGTTCAATTTTTCTATCTCTCGTTTCAATTTCTACATTCGCTGCTTCTGAGTGGTATTTTTTTTTTCCACAAGTCATTTAATTTTCAATATTACCAAACAATTCAAATTTAATTTGAATCCAACTCGAAAGCTTCCGTAGTATGATTTTTCTATGCATAAGAATTTCGAAAAATTCTTTTGAAGGATTGGGTTTCAGACTCTAGATATTATTACTAAAGGAATATTCAATCCCATACCATTTAACGTTAACCCAACTCTGTTTTTTTATTTTTTAACCTTAAATTATATTCATTCAAGGTTGATTGGAATTATCATTACTACGAACACTATTCATAATCACTGTTCCATTTTTCTCGGAAAGCAGAGGAAACTTTTGTTTACTGTTTTTAAACTCTCTTGTCACTTCTTCCCGTCTTTTCAACTGAAGAATAAACCAAAAAAGAAATGAATTTAAAAATATTGAAAGCTGAAAAGGAACACTTTGAAAAAATTAATTGATTTTGTAATTTTTATATAAAATAATTGTTATGGTCTATACTAATTATTTTATGCAAAAATTATAAAATTAATTAATTTTTCAAAAATTATCCTATACTCAATAGCTAAACAAAAAACCAAAAAAAATGTAAATTTTGGTCTCTAAATTTTTTAATTATCTATTCAATCTCTTAATTCAAAACAACTCAAACTTTGTATTTCTTAACTCAAAATGATTGAGTTGTTTTAGTTTATTAATTCAATGCGACTCAGTTCTTATAATTTTATAACTTAATAAACTATAAAAGAAATTACATTCAATCAAAAGTGAAGAATTAAACCATTTGTTAAGAGAAAATAGAACTAAAAATTATATAATCTCCAATAAACAAATGAATAAATCATACTTGTGAGAATGTCCATGCTGCATTTCTGTCCCTACTTGACAATTTTTCTGGCTTTATAATAATTTCTTTTTCACTTTAATTCAATAAATTTATACTATTTTCTCTCATTTAAAAAAATTATATTCTCTTCATTTAAAAATATAAAATATTTTTAATTAAATCTCGTCCTAATAAAATAGGGACATTTTTAGAAAAAATAATAATTATATTTTAAAAAATTAAAAATATTTTATATTTTTTAATATTTATTTTTTTAAAAAATGTTTTATATTTAAAAAAAAAGTATATTTATGTCCAAAAAAAATTGTAGAGAGAGAGAGAGAGGTCAGAGAATGTGTAAGGAGTTTATTCATTTATTGTTTGTGTGATGGAATCTGGTCCGACATAGTTAAAAGATATTGCCTACAGTCTCTACACCCTAGGGCAGAGATTCTCTAGCCACTATTTCTCCTTGGGGTAAAAAAAAAATCGATGTCCAAAAATATTCTTTATATTTCTAAATAAAAAATAATAGAAGAGAACCGTTAATATTAAATTAAATAATATAATAGGTTCAGTGTAACAAACATTACATATATTATGTTATTATATAACTTAAAAGGAAATCCCAACACCACTGAAGAGATTTTTCTTCAAAATATTTAAATTGATAATTCTTTGTGATAGCAAGCGCAAAGTTGAATAATTTTTTTTTAATGAATTTTGATATAAACATGACACGTTTTAATTAAATATTGCAGTGCTATATATTCCTTAATGTTTTAGCCATATATTCCTTAATTAAAGATTGACGTTCTGCACAATACAAGTGTCAATGAGATAAATATGGATTGAATTTCTTATTTATTTATTTAAAAGTGGAAGTTGAAAGTAATGAATTATCAGGAAGGAGAAGATTAAAATATTTTAGTGGAAATAAAAAAAAATACACCAAAAGGAAGAGGCAAATGACAAGTGCACCCTCTGGCATCCCGCCTGCATTGATGGGCTCTATAAATTTAGCAATAATACAGAATCTTTGAAGGCACGCACACATCTTGTGAGCCAAAAATTCTCAACACAAACTAAACTGTTAAGACACATCTTGAGTTGAATCTCTAATGGAGATTTGGACTCTCCATGTTCTTGTCATTTTCCTCCTCCTCTCCCACCTCTTTGCTCCAACAAATGCAAATATGGAAGGTAAACAATCTGTGTGTGTGTGTGTGTTTTTTTTTTTTTCCTTTTTTCTTCCTTGTCTTGTGTTGTTAATGGTGTTATGTTGTTGAAAACGAAACAGGGGATGCTCTGTACGCCTTCAGAAGATCTGTGCACGACCCAAACAACGTGCTTGAGAGTTGGGATCCCACTCTGGTGGATCCGTGTACCTGGTTTCATGTTACTTGTGATGATGACAAACGAGTCACTCGACTGTAAATAAAATCTCTCTCTCTCTCTCTCTCTCTCTCTCTCTCTCTCTCACATACACACGGACAGACTCTTTAATGAAGGGATAAATGGGTGTGTAGATTTTCAAACTGTTGATTTGATTTTTTTTTTTGGGTATTGTGCTCTTTTGTGATATAATGCAGAGACTTGGGGCATGCAAAACTGTCTGGCCACTTGGTTCCAGAGCTGGGAAAGCTAGATCGCCTTCGCTTTCTGTAAGCATTAAGCAGAGTCAAAGGAACTCTGTTTTGGTTTGAGGATGATGATGGTGTGTGTGTGTGTGTGTGTGTGTGTGTTTTGCAGAGAATTGTAATTAAGCAAAGTCAAAGGAGCTCTGTTTTGGTTTGATGATGATGATGATGTGTGTCTGTGTTTTTTGAAGAGAATTGTACATGAACAACTTGGAGGGTTCTATGCCAAAGGAGCTAGGGGAGCTCACGAGTCTTGTGAGCTTGGATCTTTATCACAATAACCTAACTGGGAAAATCCCACCAACTCTCTCCAAGCTCTCCAATCTCAAATTCCTGTATGCAATATGATGTGGCGTTATTAGAGTACTTAATGATTAATTAATGATGTTTTATTTTGACTAAATCCAACAATTAATTAAAATAAGCTGATAACTTTATTTTGTGTCAGTCGACTCAACAGCAACAAACTGAGTGGAAGGATACCGAGAGAGCTAACCAAGCTCGGAAACCTTAAGATCCTGTACTGAGTTTCTCTTATAATTCAGGTTTTGGTTTTACTGTGATTTCACTTTTCCGATGATTTCTTATTATTGTTATTGTTATTTCTCTTTTGTTCGCTGCAGAGACCTCTCGAACAATAATTTATGTGGAACCTTCCCAACTTCTGGTTCCTTTTCCAAGTTCTCTGAAGAAAGGTGAGTCCTAAACTCAGAATTAATGTTCATAATCATATTAATTTTAATATGTGGAAGAGATTCAAGGCCTCTTAGATAGGGTTTTTAGAAAATATTCTTGGTCTTTTTTATAGTCACCTTATAGTTTATTAGAGCATTAAATATTTTTCCCCATATGTGCCATATTAATAAGAGATGATAAAAATTAATATGATAGGAGGGTTTGGTGTAATGAAGATTGATAATACTGGAAACTAATTTCATCTTATGAGAGCTTCAGTATTTTATTATAGGTGAATTAATTAAAAATGACTTATAATTGGAGAGTACCATCAAAAGTGCTCTTGATCCATGAGATATACTTAATTATAATAAATCATGAGATGTTAACTCATCTAAACTTTTTTTAATAAAAAAGAAATATTACTTGAGTCTTGTAAATAACAGAACAAAAATTAAAAAAAAAATCATGTTGAGAGTTTTTCTATGTCTGGAGTCCAAGATTGCTCAAGTTGATGAGTGGACAGTCTTGAAAATATTGGGCCATGCTGATTTGAAAGATCTGGCTAATTGGATGAGTTAGTATTAATGGGCTTGTTTGATTTGTGTTTTTAAAAATTCTTTTCTGATTTAAAAACAAGAAATGAAAAAATTTGTTTAGGCAAGTATTTTAAATTTGAATGTTTTTGAAATTCTTTTCAATGAAAATAGTTTAAAGTTATTTTCATTTTTCATTTTTGATTTTTAAGATACCCTATATTTAAGTATTCTAAATCACTTTTAATTTTGGTTAACCACTGTCATAAGTCATCACCGTTAATTATTGATGATCGTTATTATCGGCTTTGTCTGACACCAAAATTATTTTTAAATTAACATAATCAAATACATTTTTATTTTATTTTTTGAAAATCCATATTTTTACAAAGTAATTTTGAAAAACAAAAAGAGAAGAAAATTAAACGAGCCCATGTTTCTTTTGTAGAAATCAGTTTCTTTTCTGCCTATTTCATGGCTGTTAACAAGTTGTGTGACATTGCAGTTTCATGAACAATCCGAGACTGGAAGGGCCAGAATTGATGGGATTCGTGAGATATGATGTTGGAGGAACCTGCAATTAATAGATTAACTGATAACTGATGATAATGACCACACGAGACCCTTCTTGTGTTGTGCTACTAGTAGTGTAAAGGAAATGTCTCATTCCCTCATATCCTTCTTTAATTAATATATTAATATTAATACTATAAGTCGCTTGCTTGGATCAATCTCTATACTAAGAATAGAACGAGTGCCTTCTGCATCTTGACTTTACAAAGACTCCCATCTTAGTGACCGATTGTCCAATCCTCACATTTCTTTTATTCTTTCTTATAATAATAATGCCACTTGAAGTGTAAGTACCACTTAATATGTTCAAAGAAATAACTAATCTAAGCCAGGCTATCGATCTAACATGACTTGAATAAAAGTTAGGATTAAAAGGCAATTTGACGTCTGAATGATATATTCAAAGAGAATTTGAAATTTGAAATTTATTTCTTTTGTTTGATGTTTTTCTTGAACTTTAAAAAAATAATGTAATGTAGTTTATATTATTAATAAAAGTTAATTATAACTGTTAATTGATTAAAGAATAATAGAAAAAAACCAAGAACATTACAAAAAGACCAATAATTACAAATAAGGACCCAGGTAAATATTAAAAAAGATTAAAAAAATTTTCGCAATTTTTTTTTTCATGTTCGAGGTCCTTTTTTATCATTTATAATTAATTAATGATTAAAATTAAATTTTATTAATGATAGGGATAACATCGTTTCATTTTCAAAAGTTTGTTTTCAAAAGTTAAGGAGAAGTATTACATAAAAAAATTGAAGATTTCAAATGCTTCTAGACTTATAATTTAAAAGTTAAATTATTGTTTAATCTTAAAAAATAATGTGATAACTTTTAAAAATTTAAAATATAGGTAGAAGAATATATGTATTTATGTATATATCCAACCAAAACGTATGAAAAACAATCTATATAAAAAAATTTAAGATTTTAACAAACATAAATCAATATACAAAAATATTGAAGTAAATTTAAAATGGGATTTTTGCAGACATAGCTTGTATCATAAAAGCAAGTAAAAAAATAATCTATCCTTGTTTAATTTTTAAAAATGGCCTTTGTAATATTTAGTTTATAATTAGTTTACAAAAATTCCCTTTTAATATTTGCGTAAATGCCAAAAGATCAAAACGCAAGAAATCTCTAAAATCGAACATAATGAATGTGAGATATATAGTCTAAAGTGACTTTTTTAGAGTTGAATGTGAGAGAGAAGATGGAACTAAACACGAGAGAGACGAACGTGAGACAACAGAACAATGTGAGTGAGTTGTAGTCACGATCATGAGAGACAAACATGAGGTAAGATACATCGATGATACTCAACGGAATAGAGCATATTGGTAGGGAAATGGAGTTACATATTCATGATTTTTTATTTTATTAGTTTAAGTATTTAACTCTTTGTAATAAATTAAGAGTCCAAAAATTTTTATGAACTGTGTTTGATCTATTTTGGACAAATGATTATGTGTTTTTTATATTACTGATTCGCAATACTATATCGTTGATATACTGTTGTATATCACTGATATACTATCGTAGATTAACATAACTAAACAATTATACATAAACTTTTTTATACATATGTATATCAATGATGTAGTATTGTAAATCAGCAACACAAAAAATACATAATCATTTGCCCAAAATAAATCAAACACAGTCCATAAAAAATTTGTTGTTACTGAGAGATGTGAAGATGGTAAAAATCTGATAACAGATAATAAATTTCAGCTTAGTCTTCTACTTCGAGAAATGAAGATTCCTCTTCAATGTCTAATGTCCTCTTCATATGTTCTTGAAAAAAAATAGAGAGGGAGAGAGAAGAAACGCACAACAATGAAGAAAGGCACAAGCAATTTCATATTTAGAGGAAAAAAGGAATGATTCAGTCAGTTAAGGATTGGTTGCAATAGATATGTTGCGTTTTAATAATTAATTTAATCTAAAGATAAAAAAGTAAAATACATCTATTTGATTTTATGAATGGGTCATATTTTAAAATATTCAAAAATCTCATTCATAATTTATAGGAGTTGTATTTTTTGAGGCTATATATCTAATTTCCTTATTTAAAAAACTAAAAGTTTGATTATCCATTTTTTAATAAGTTCTTGATTTGTTTTAGATACTCAATATATCAATAAATTATGAAATTTATAAATAAACCCCTTATTCAAAATTTATAAATAATAGAATTTATTTTTTAAATTCCAAAATACACAAAAACATATAACTTCAGATCCACTTTCTTTTCTTTTTACGCTAAGATGCAAAAATATTAAAAAAAAAATTCTTCAAGGACTTCTAATTTCCTTAATCCAATAATGATACCTATTAACTTTGTAAAAAAAGACTAAGCTTTCCCAATTTGTTAAATATTTTTCCTTAAAAATGAACGGTTAACATTGGGCTTTTTCAACAGATGGTAGAAAGTTGACCTCTTATAAAACTAATAGATATCTATATATTATTGTTGATTTCAAGATACTAGAAATCCTTTGACTTGTTTTTTTTTTTTTGGGGGGGCCAGAAGCTTTGACTTGTTTTTTTAAAAACATTATAAACTATGTCTTGAACAGCAGACTGAAAGGTGACAAGACCCTCATTATATTGGACGACACACCCAATTGGGGCCCAAAAAAAGCCCAACTAGAGATACTGTTGACTTTGTGTTCTCTCTTTCCGTACGTGAAACTGAATGTAGTAAGTTGTACTTCGATTTGGGTAATACCAGTATTTTTTAGGCCCAAAAATTTGTAATTTACCCTCTTTTTCCATCAGAAAATTAGGAAACACAATTTCTCCTTAATCAAGAAAATAACCCTGTTGGGAAGCATGTGAATTGATGCTTTCTAGAATAACCAAGTTAAAAAAAAAAAAAAAAGTACACTGAATGCTACAAGGGAGTACAAAGACAAAGATTAAGATTTCTTGGGTGGGTGACAGAGGAGGCGTAATTAATTTGAATATTGGATAAAGAAAATAATACACAATTCAACAATGCAAGTATGCAACCCACGGGCATTTATTTTCCACCATTGAAAGGGAGCCGAACAAAAATGATGACATGCAGATACAGAGGAATATTTACAGATTCGTAATGGCACAAAACTAATTGTGAAACAAAACTTGACCCTAAGCCTTATTTGCCAGGTCTTCAACAGAGCTATCTTCATGCGTGAGTGGAATTAATCTGCAGAATTTCAGTGCCTGTTTTAATGAATCATGTAAATAATTCAGAACTGAAGAATGAAATCCCAGGAAATAGAAAGCCGAGACAAAATCTATATTCAAACTCCAAAAATTATAGCAACTAGTGAGTAACTATATATACTCAGAACGATCATGAAGCTTATCCTAATGTTGGATAACCATACAATGGTCACATGACAGTTTATAAACAAAAACAAGCACAATTTCATGTCAATTCATGAATTACAAATTCTACATCTGAAAAGACAAATGAGTACTCCAATTAGTGTGTTTTGATTGGAGTCACTTAATTTTCGGATAAACATGAATTGTAATCTTAATTTTTTTTTAATCTTGAAAGTGATTTTCACTATCAATACAGTTCATCCAATGCACGAGCACTTTCTTTTCTTTCCTTTTCATTTTGCCATCAATACAGTTTTTTTTTTTCCCGCATCAATAAATGTGGTTTTAAAGGAAAATCCATGCCAAACACACTCTTACCTAAAATGTGAATAATCAAATGAAGTATATAAAATACACATCAACAGTATTACCAGAAATTGCAAACGACGCAGTCATGCCGAGTCCTATTATATTTATAAGTTTTGCTACCACCATATGCACATTCGAGCAACTTGTGTTCAAAGTGATCAACAATTTACCCCACCACTTTTTTTCCCTTTGGCCAAGCCCCCAACCCCATTCAATTAGAGGATTAGGTATTTAATTACTCTTACCTCTGTTTTATTCTACATGAAATAAGGCAACTTTCAAAGGCTATGCCAGTTATATGTTAAATATATATCTATACATACAGACTCCTTCCACATTGTCCAGATTTCTTAATTCATATGTTTAAAATATTCTAATAAAATGAAAAAAGATAGACCCAAGAAAAAGCTGAGGAAACAAAATACAAGGTTAAAAATTACCTCCAATCTAGACAGCCTGAGCAACAGTCTCAGAGCCATCAGAAGACAGTTGACTGCTTGTTAACGCTAATGGCGGGAGAGATGCAAGATCCTCAGACACGGATGATCTATTAGGGGATTCCACTGGCCTTGGATCATGCAATGCTTCAGCTCTTGCACCACTAGAAGGTATGGAAAAGCTACGAGACATGGCCTGAGGAGGTGTTGGCAAAGGAGATGCAGCATTTTTAGTTGACGTAACCAATTTGTTTGCAGCAGAAAGCTTTGGACCTCTGGACACCAGTGGACCTGAATGACCCACCAAACCAACAAGTCTTGAAGAATTGGATGAAAAACCAGCTGGAGGCCTTGGAAGCTCATGAAGCTCACTTATTTTAGGTGAAGATGTAAAAGTAGGAGAAGCACTAGGAGATATTTTTGGGGACGATGATGGAGGCTGTGCTGTTGGAGTCTGCAAAAGAGGTCCAGAAAACAATCGAATGGATTCTACCGAAGCATGTTTGGTAGGCCATGGTTTACCAGTCAATGGACCAGAAAAGGCATGTCTTTTAATCTTCTTAGAGTGAACATGAAAAGCATCATGAGTTGAAGATAAAAGGCCATCAACCAGCGGAAGTGGCAATCTTGTGGAGGCAACATTGCCGTTACTTTCCTTGAGTACAGATTGTGCATTCGTAACAGTAGAACGAGAGAATTCCTCATCTCCAAAATTTTCTCCATATTTCTTTTGTTCCAGCGGGGATGAATGCCACAAATTCTTTGTAGGCTCATTTAAATTTATATGTGTTTTGGAAGTCGCTAGATTACTTGATCCTGAAGAGATAGAACTCTTGGCATTAACAGGTGTAGGCAGCACATATGAACTGAACTTCCTCGATAAAGATGGTTGCATCTGTCTTAGTTTTTCACTAAAGTCAGGTTTATCGATGAAAAGTGGGGCAGATTGGCTTTCTGTCCTAAACCTAAAGGAAATTGAATTCCTGTTAAGCATGTCTAACTTTTCCTGCAAAGGAGTATAATATATATTCAATGTGCGTACTCATAAATAAATAAATATGTACAGACATACATACACATATATATAGATAGAGGAGACTAAATACATCATATTTCCAGAGGCTTTAAAAACCTTTGTCTGAGGACATTTATATAACATCAATTCATGAAATATTTCCAGTCCAGTAATTAACTTTTCTCTTCTCTCTTTTACCTTAAAAGCTTCTACTGTTCTACCTTGAGGAAGAAGTATATGAAGCAATTTGCTAAATGTGATTAAATCACGAAACTTTAACAAATTTATATATTTGAAATTGAGATTGTAAGTACATATAATATATATAAATATATATGGTGAAGTCCAAAATTTTCCTCCCCCAAAAAAAAAAAAAAAAGTTCTTCAATTATAACCACGATAGCATATAAGTGCATCGACCAGAAAATTGAATATTTTACAGTTTTCCTTAGAGGTGCTTTCTTAAACTTTGCATCCAGCATTCCCCCTAACCTATTTACTTATGCACACAATACAATAAGCCAAGTTCAAACAAATATAGGACGTAAAATTCGTGTTCATAAGCCTGCAACTTCTCTGCCCATAGCTTTCATTTTATGTATGTTCTCTTTAGCATATGATAACACCCGAACCCCCAGTGTGTTATAAATCTCCAGCCTAATCATATCAACAAGTTTCTTATTGGGGAAGTCACTGATCTTCATTAGATGTGCTTCTCTCAAAATCTTTGAGGGAGAAGGAAGGGTTAAGAATATTGCAATTTCTTGGTTACCTCCTTTGATTTTTGTGGTGTAGAAACATCTCGGTCTTGTTCATTTTGCCCATAATCCAAGCTCAACTCCCCATCATCATTCTCATCATAACTTTCATCATCATCTTCCCCATCATCACCGTCATCTCCATCATCATCTTCAAGACCACTAAAGGGGTAATCAATGTGTTGCTGTTCAGTTACTGATTTTACATGTGGCTCCACTGTCTCAAGAGACTGAAGTGCTTTCTTAAAGAAATGCAACTGTTATGTGGCATAAAATAGAACATAGAAAATCAATACAACATATACAATTCCCAGCTCAAAAGAAGAAAGTAAGAGAATGTAAAACCTGAGCAGCATGGTGACGTGCTGCCTGTGTGAGTAGACTCCGTGATTGTCCTTGTTTCAAAGATTTCAACCGAAAAACAAATAATGTCGCCTCATCATCATATTCATCATGAGCAGTTTGCAACTGCTGCACAGTAAAACTTTCTGCCTTCGCAGCTCTAGACTTGCCTCTTTCTTTGTATCTTGTAAACATATGCTTATAGACATCTCTGCTGATCATTTACCCGAAATGATTAGACATATATCAGCTTCAGGGACACATAAATTCAATTTATCATTTCATACCTTTTTTCATCACATTGTCGCTTCATCTCCTGCTTCAACATGAAGAGGGGGAAATTTTATTGACTAAATTAAGTCCCATAAATAATTGATAATCAACAGTGCAACACATAGTTAATGCAGACACAATTATCACATCAACAAACTTGGTGAATGAATATTTGAGCATTAACGTAAATATATTCTTTGGTTATAGTAATAACAAAGTTGTGAATTCAAACAGCACTGACACCTTAATACATGAAACTCAAAGGGGCTGGATACCATAGTTTTCAACATGCAACTACAAGATGCTAGAAGCATTTTACTTTTGCAAATTTTCCTGTGGTGCTACAATAATTGTTTTGCAATCCATTAACACCATAGAGAAAACTGGTGAGTAAACTAATATACTAAAGGAAGGAAGAAAGGCCACAATGCAGGATTGCTTTGAACTTGCTCTTTTTTCAGGGAACACCAAACACATTTCCCAGATCTGTAACATCAAGTTTCAGAAGTCCACAGAACACCTTTATCAAATAGACAGATTTTCCTTAGTAGAAGATCAAATATATCTAATAATACCCATTTACCAAAGTGAACTTCGAGTTTCTATATTGATATATTAGAATCTCAAAGATAGTTTCCGGTCTGATTAGGATGTGAAACCCTGTGGTCAAACTTCTAATTGTATGGCAATTAATATATCTTCTACTTACAAGTAAAACTAATAAAAAACATCAACATTAAGTATTACAGTTAACTGAGCCAGAATAATAAAAAGGGTCAAATACAGGGTAAAAGAAAATAATAAGTTAAGAAACAACAGAAACCTGTCAAGGATTGTTAAATATATGCTAACATATTTACCTCTTAAAAGTTTATGCATGCCATTTATAGTAAAGGACAAAAGGTTCATAAGAACAAACCTCAACAATTTGAAGTTCATTCATTAAAGACTCTGATGGAGTTGTGATTGTCTTGATTATATGACCACGCTGAAATAAGCAAAGCAATAATTTCAAAACAGACAAAAAGAAATGCTTTTTTTTTTCATTTTACATATGCAACCAGCACTCACATAGTTATCAACAAGCTTTTGCAGCTTAAACTGCAATTTCCCCAGCATTAGCAAAACCCTACCTGCATAAATGATTTATAGTGCATCATTGGAGAATCCACCACAGAGAATAGTCTGCAACACAACACATAAGTATGTTTTCTACAAGCTTGAAGAATAAAAATCACATTTTATCATATCAATTTTACACTATTGACACAAAATAGAAATATTTAGATAAATATCAGACACCCTAGGAAGCTTAATTTAGTGGCAATATTTTGCTTCTCTTAATTTTTTCATAAGAAAGATATTTATGGATGAAATGAAAACTACAGTCACCCTACGATTGGAATGGGAAGAAAATAGGAAGGAAAGAAAAGTAAAAGAAAAGGACATTCTCCCTCCTAGCACATATTTTTTTTTTTTTCAGTTTTCCCCATCTCTAAGAGGAAATTAGGAGGGGAAAAAAGGTGTAAAATGCCTTTTTTCTTTCATTTTCTCCTATAACTTTCTCTCCTCCCTATTTTCTTCTCATTCCAAACAAAGCCTTCGAGTTAAAACTTATATGATTTGATTCTACACTTTCAAGGATTATGCAAAAAAATCAAAATAATGGACTAGACAGCTTGCTTTTGATATTGGCCATAGCCATGACTGACACATCGGTCAGAAAACAGCATCTGTCTAAATAGCAATTTATTAAACCAAAATCAGATTATAGCCAAAGAACTAACTAAGGAAAAACACAACAAAATAGATGTAGGGCCTGTTTGATTTTTGTTTTCAAAATCTGTTTTGTTTTTAAAAATAAAAAAATTCGTTTGAATTAGTATTCAAGATTTAAATGTTTTCAAAGCTGTTCTCATTTTCTATTTTTTAAAAATAAAAAAATAGAAACATCTTAGAGCTGTTTTCGTTCTTTTTTTTTTTTTTAAAGCATGCCAAATTTGACTATGTAAATTACCTTCAGCTATAACCAACCACTGTTATAGACCATCATTGTTAACTAATGGTGACCACCACTATCAGCTGTTCTTTTAAATCTAAATTTGTTTTTCAAATTAAAATAATCAAACAGATTTTCATTTTGTTTTGTTTTGAAAAACAATTCTAAAAATTGGTTTATAAGATAGTTTTTAAAAACATAAAATGAGAACAAAACTGAAAAAGCTCTTATTCTCTTTTTTTCACCCTGCAAGACAATACCTATTCACTAAATCACCAAATAGGGGGGGGGGGGTAAAGAAACCATGATGCAATCTTAGACGAGTATCATTGACTGTACCACTTTCTTCATCATCATTCAATGCAGTTTTCTGGAGAAGACAAGAGCCCATTTCCCGCAGGGACTCTGAGAATTCTGCAAAAAGAGGAAATCATGCAAAACTGTTTGAAAAAAAGACAATAATATGCCAAAGATATCATTCACAGGGAATTGAAGCATCGTTTCTGATGTGCATATTTTATCAAAGTGAACCACGAAAACTTTATTCGCCCTGGTATGTTTCTTGAATTAGCAATATACAACTTTAGACCCAGTAATTTATAAAAATGAATATCTTTGAAATACCATAAGCACTGTTGGCTGTAGCTGCCGCCGCAGAAAGCAAGCTATCATAGCAGTCTCTCATGTCCTGCATGTCCTGAAAGAATGAAGAAACAGAGCTACTGTCTTATTTGATCACAAAATAGATAATATTGCCAATCAATAAACTGAAGGGATAACATACAGCATAATTTCAAGCTCAGGTAAAATTTGGTGATGCGTCAGGTTGGTGACTCAATTGCACGATTTCTGAAGTTTTAGTTCCATAACACACAAAATTACAACAATATTACACTGAGTTAATTTATTGGTTTCTACCCTAAAACGGATTTTTCATCATCTCTGAGATGAATTTGAAACAAATTGTCTTGATTTCTTGCGACAACTGAAATATAAAACGAGTCCTAGTGGGAGAGAACATTAATAGTGAGCTGGGGTTAGTGCTGAATTCCAGAGAAGACCATATTATGATGAAACTAGGAATACATGATGAACAAATCGGACAAAACGGAATCATATCAAAAATAGAAAGGGAAAGAAAAGCACGAAAACGAACCTGGGTAGCCTGATCGAGCTCATCCAACTGAGCCAAAGATCGAACGTCCCTACGGCCCTTGGAATCATGATGGAGATGATGATGATGATGATGCTTGTGAAGTCCAAGACCTCGCAATTTTTTCAGAGAGTTCCTCATCGAGACAGTAGGAATCAAAATCCTCAATTTGTGATTGACCTCTCTGATGAAAATTTCGTTACCGAACGCAATGGACCAGGTTGGGAACCTCCGATGCAAACCATTCCTTTCTTCAAAACCGTATTCTCTGGTCTCGGCAACAACGCTGCGATAGACAACAACAGCCCCGCCCCGTTATTATTTATTTATTTGTTTATTTAATAATGAAATGGAATTCAACATAATGAACATATTCTCATTATTGGGTCAAATCAAAGCAATACTGGCCATAATAGAATAGTCAAAGTCAACAACACCTCCTGATCCAAAAAACAAAAAAGAACCTTTTTATTCTTTTCCGCTTAAATTATTAATTTTTGCTGTCTATCTCCGAGGGACATTAATCAAGTCCATGTGCAGACACGGTAATCTAATTTCTGACAACACTGGTATTTATCTCTAAAGGACAATTCAATGATTTTTCCACGAGGAAAGCAGTTGATTTTTAGGAAAAGGACAATTGGAAATTTCATGCCAAAAATATTAATGATAATTATAAATTTTAAATTATTAAAATTTTAATAATAGATCATAATTTTTATTTATAATAAATTATTTTTTATTAATTAATTTGAGATTTAAAATGAACTTTTATAATTTTTTAATTAATATTAAAAAAAATTTTAAATATTTTTTATTAATTTCCTAATCAATAATAAAAAATTACAAGTGATTAGTTTATAATTTACAATTAATCATAAAATCCCACATAATGTTATAAATAATTCTAGGTGTATTATTTTATTTGTAATTTTGTCAAGCGATTTTTGTATACATTGATAGCAAAAAAGTTATAAATAATTAGTTTGTGATTTATAATAGATTCTCATAAATTTTCAACTAATATTATTAACAATTCCAAATATATTTTCTTAATTTTTTAAGAAATTTATCAGTATATTGATAGAAAAAAGTGAGATTTACAACCAAATTTGATAAATTCTTAATTGACATTATAAATAATTCTAAACGTATTTGTTGATTTTCCATCTAACTATTTACATTTTTAATTGCAAGTAAGAACCATTGTTTGTTATTAAAATTTCAAAAATTTAGGATTTATAATTGTTTTGAATGTTCTTATGGAGACCCTAATTGTCATTTTTCCTTCATATTTTTCTTTAAAATTTTGGAAGAATAAATATTTCAAAAAAGGAAAAATGATAAAAAATTCCTTTGAAATATACAAATGACAATGAGATTCTGTGAAATGTAATAATTCTTCTCAAATCTCTTAAGACCTTTCTATCAATAATGTCTTTTATAAAAGGCCTATAATGACCACAATTTAAAATATTAACAACTACTTTGGTTTAAGTAATGACCACTTTTTTTATAATAAATAAAATGGGATAGCAAATGACAATTTTTACTCTTTAAATTTTTTAATCATTAAAATTAAAGTATTGTAAATATATGTTACTACTTTAGATTAAGTAATAACTATTTTTTTCTAAAAATAATTAAAATGAAATAAGTAATTACGACTTCTCCTATGCAAATTTTTAAATCATTAAAGCCCAAGTATTGTAAATATCATTGACTACTTTGATTTAGACAATGACTATTTTTCTTCTGGAAATGACTAAAAGAAACAACAAATGACAAGTTTTGCTCTGTAAATTTTTTAATGATTGATCTATTTCTTTCTTATTTTAAATTGGGCACATTATAGTCATTTCATAAAAGATACTAATGTCAGAGAGGTTCCTAGGAACTTGAGAAGAATTATCATATTTCATAAGATCTCATTGTCATTTGCAAATTTAGGGGGAATTTTTTTTTGTCATTTTCCCTTCAAAAAATTGAATTAACAATAACTAGGTTACTTATAATTTTTTTAAAGAAAATAAGTTGTAAATATTATTTCATATAGTTATAAATAGAACTATTTTTATAAAAAATAACAAAAATCTTAGTTACAATTTAAAAATTACATTTAAAATTGTATGTGGGGTGTAATGATCTCTATCACTAAACATTCTTAAATCTAAAATAATTAAACTAAACATTAAAAACTAAGCATCAACCTCGACTAAGGTTATTTAGCAATTGACTTTGAAAATGTAAAAAACAATGAGATCCCAAAATTATTTAAAAAAAAATATAAAAGTATGCAGAAACATAGGAAAAGAGTTAGGTTCTAAAAACAAGTTGAAGCAAGGACAAAGCATACATTTTGGTGATTCCATTAGAATCATCACATCCAAATGTACCTTCATCATGCCTTGTGGCATAGATGCCACTCATTGTGACCAACATTGTGACCAACAACATAATTGATTGTGGTGCACACTCACAAACAACACATGTAAATCTAACTTTCAAGCTATCTAATTTTTAGCTCGGACCTTTGATTAATGTGATCCAAACGTCCATACGCATATAATTGAATAAACTAATTAATGGCTCTAATCTTACTCTAATTCAAAATCAACCAAGGATTTTGGATGTAATGTCCTCTTTAACGTTATTAGAACAACACTCTAACACGCTATTATGATAATCAGGACTAATTAAAACCCTTAAGAAAAGTCATCACAACCCAAAGGGTTTGAAAATAAATAGTTTAAAATATTGAGATTCTAATAAAATCCTTTTGAAAAGCTGTTTGAACTCAAACTATATTTTATAATAAAGCATAAGAGAGTGTAAAAGCAAGGAAAACAAATAACATCTCAAAGGCATAACAAGAAGGTAGTATTATTTTTCCCAAAATTGCTCTATCTTCCGCAGCACGTGCATTGTTTGTCTCAGCGGATGGCATAAAAAGCCAGGCTCTCACAAAGCATTAGACTATGGCGTGATTGCCATGTGCTGTGGCGTGCACCTGTTGTCATGATAGCACTCCAGGCCAACTTCTAGAGCTTGTCATTTTGCCATCTGATGCTTGATTTAAGTAGTTCAAGTGTCTACACGTAGCTCTTTGAACCTTCTATCTATTGGCACTAGTCTCACATCCAAATTATCAACCATTAAAAGGTTAGACACTCGAATTCCAAATAGTTTGTTTTTAACCCATAACACACTCAAGGGTGTCCAAATCACATAATCTAGTGCCAATAGCCCTGGAATCACTTGGACCAACTCAAATAAACCACACACAACCTAATAAGCCAATCATATTACATAAATAACCATCAATACACAAAATAATTACCAAACCCCCAATTCACATCAATATTAAAGGGGTGGATAAAATTTCACATAAATGTCATTTTAATCATTTCAACACATAATTCGCACAAACAGATCACTTGCACAAATATCCCGATATTTGACATATCATTTTGATATATAAACATCAGTCTAGGTTGAAATACACACTCATGCATCATGATTTTTTATGCAAGTGAATACAAAATAATGAAATGCTCCTAAGTTGGTATAATGTTCATATCATTCATTATAAAACCAAAATAATAAGGGAAAAGAGCTATACAAATGTAGCCGTCAGTCCTCAGTAGTCCTTCCTTCCTTTTGCCTCTACTGGAGCCCTCACCTATAAAATATAACTACAAGATGAGATAAACATATCAGTAATAGAATAATTTATTACTATTAATTAATATATACGTCTATAAGGGAGTAAAGCTAATATTTATTAAAACATTCATTTCACATGATCAATATAAAATATTCAATAATTATGATTCATTTTCATTCTAGCATGATCATTCTACTATCCAAGCCTTTATATCACTCTGATTGAAACTATAGGCTCTATTGGACTAAGTGTACATTCATAATGACTTGAGCTCACCTTCAATGGTAAGATCACCTAGCTAAAGATGTCTTACCCTACTTCTAGACTATGGTCTCCCCTTGTCACACATAAATCGGAGTATCGTTACTCCAACACCACATCACTGATGCTAAGGAGCGTCAATCTCCAACACCGTATCTCATATGGATACTAAGGAGATAATCTCCAACACCATACTTTATAAGGAATTAAGGAGATACATGTCATATAGACTTCCACTACTTCTTCCTACAGGTGAACTCCCACCCTCTATCATGATTATACTCACATTTTTCATACATATCATATATTTATATCCAAATTACATTTAACTCATATAATAGATTTTCACAAATCTTCATCATTTAAAAATCATTTCAAATACACAAAAACCTTATTTTACAGTATGTAATACTTTCAAAATACATATAAAGAATTTACTTATCTACTCAAAGACAGTTAAACATTTAATTAAATAGTATAAATTATTTCATTATCTCAATCATTTTTTGTCACAAAAAGGGTCACTGTGGTTTAGCATTTGCTCCACATGTTCCACACGCAAGATAACACTTGAGCAATACTTAATCTACACAATTAACTAATATCATTCCAATTAAACCCTAAAATTACTAATGTTCGAGTATCCACTATACCCAAAAATCTCATTCATCAACTTCAACTCTTTCAACACATTTCATTAATCCTATTTAGCATCCAAAAATGCTAATATCATCAATCCTTTACCTACATTATTCCAAAACTCTCAATTTATACCTAAGGTTCATTTAAACCCTAACCAAAAATTTTAAATCATTATAAAACTCATAAACCTAAAGTTAGAAGCTTGATTTAACTCCTTAAAACCTTAACTAAGTTAATATATTAGGTCTAAATCTAAGGGAACCAAAATCACAACCCTTATTGCCTCAAGAAGTCAAGAAATTACACAAAGGGGAAGGATAGGGAATATGAAACTTACTCAATGATGATTAAAGCTCTAGTCGACAAGCCATGCCCTAACATCCACGAGTTCATTCTTCATTGTTGCTCTCGTTTTCTTTCCTTCCTCTTCTCTGAAATCAGACACGTTTTGCATTTAGTTTATTTTTGAAATTGGCCATGCACTGTGGCCCATCATGCGTGCATTGCGGTAAATGGCACAGCAATGCCCCGTGCCTTTTTGGCCACCATCTCGAGTTCAGTTGATCTGCACACCATCTTAACTCATTTTCAAAGTTATTCAAAGGTCAAATAGCTATATTAGTGTCCCAAAAACACCATTAGCTTAAAAAGTCACCTATTTTAACCAAATTACCCTTCTTAAACACTTAAAGTCCTAAGTTGAAAACTTAATATGTTACATTAGACACTTAGGGCT